ACACACACACACACATACATACACAAACACACACACACACACACGCACACATTCACAAGCACAAGAAAGTGATCACCATGTGTTCCATTTAACCACCAACATTATCCACCTCCCTCTGCCCCAAAGCACAACTCGCCTTTAAAACGCTCGATACCATCACCATAGTGAGAAACTTGATAGCCGACGCTTTCAAGCTTTAAAAAATCTGACACTGGCGTTTCTCAATCAACAATAAATCAAACCACACCACCTCTACAACCGAACAACACAGCTAAAAAAGTCAAATTATATAGCAGGTTTAATGCCCCTTGTAAAACTGTTAAGTTATTTAAGAGGCGAGACCTCCGACTTGCTGAACTGTACGCTATTTAAGAAGCGGGACCTCCGAATGTAACGCCAATCTCCGACGGAACTCAGCCCAATGAGGAAATTCTTGAAAAGAGTGTTTTTCCAGAGGACATAATGTCGGGAACAGCTGATCGAGCTGCGAACACCCGAACTTGCAATCTTACGAGTGCGAGTCCGATGTCACGACCACAATTGATTCTTATTACTGGATTACTGACGTCACTTGACAAACATAGCTTTAAAACTGTTATTACGCTTGGGTGTCCGACTCTAAAAGATAATACAATTTCGCGCAATTTAAAAAAAACCCTCGGTTATCATATAATTATTTCCATGCTTCCGTGTTCTTTTATCTCCTTTTTTTTTTTTTTTTTTTTTTTACAAAAAAGGATTATTTCTGTCCAGAGCGTTAAGCGACTACATAACATTACCAGCAACAATAATTTTGCAACTCGAGGAAAAAGCGAAACCTCTCCATAAACAGTACCATTGAAAGGCTCATCCTTTTAAATTTCCTGTTCTTCTTTCACCCTCGTTTAGATCACAAAACCTCCCGTAGCCACGGCATTAAAGGTTTGACTTCACACCACCACCACCCCTCTCTCTCTTTTCGCCCATTTCACCATTTCATTTCGAAAAAAAAAAAACGGAAAGAGAAATTGATACAGGTGTCTGTGATGCAACGATTAGGCGCTTCGCTATTACACACAGGAGACCCGAGTTCGATGTCCGTGTGGGGAGACTTTTTATCGAGTATCTCTGTTTTTTTCTGCTCGGATGCTGTATCATATCCCTCTCATGCATGTTTGGCCCTCTCAGCCGACCTCCTAAATCGTGTCCATGTGGGCGTGAAAGTGGTATGGGTTTACTGCCCCTATAACACTATTAGGTTATTTATGGGGCGGGACCTCCTAGTTAACCGTCCGTCTGCGATAGGACCGAGCCAAGTGGGAAGTTCGTGTTAAGTGCCTTTTCCAAGGACACAACGTCGGACCGAGCGGAGGCTCGAACCCCCGAACCCGCAATCTCACAATAACGAGTCCGGTAGCCTAACCACTAGGCCACCTACGCCACCACGTGGGCGTAAAAACATATAAATAAAAATATTTTAAAAAGTGGCTATGAAGCGATGTACTCACCAGCCAGTCCACTGTACGCCCACCAAGTGGCCCACGGAGAGTTGGAGC